TGCTCCCCAGCCACATCCATGGCATCGATGCTCAGATCTGGAAAGAGAGAGGTGCTATGACTCCAGGGACCTGGAGATCTGGGCTTTGGTAGGAAAGATGTATCTCGTGGAAGAACTGGACTAGGGGAATGAAGATAACCTGGCATCCATTCGGGGATCTAAGGCCAGAGGTGTAAATCTGGAAACCCATCCAGCACACCCAGGACTCCAACTTCCACCCACAATCAGGTACTCACAGGCACAGGGCATGTGTGGGAAAAGAACATCGATGTTGATCTTCAGTTTATCTCCCCGAGACTTGTCCACGTAGAGCTCAGGATGCACCTGGGGCGACACTACCTCAGTCAGATTTGGCCCTGACCCCCTACCCCGCTTTAAGGGTCCCAGCCTTAGAACGCTAAGCCCCGCCCACGTCCCAGGCCACGCCCCTTACCTCGGTGGTGAGATAATACTGCAACTCGGACAGGAACAGCAGGAGCATGAGAAGGCCACTGACTATGGTCACTGCAGGGCGGGAGCGAGATTTGGAATGGCCTGCGTCCCACCACTCAGCCTCTAGCAGGCCAGGGAGAGTCCCGGAGCCCGAGACAAACGCGGGGGCAGCTCCCTCCCCACAGCCCCGCCCGCTCCGGGACCTACCCGTGGCGCCCCCGCAGGTCTTGACCCGGAAGTCCTCTAGAGTCTTGGGATAGGCATCGAACTGCTTCAGCTTCCCCAGCGCCTCCATGGGGACCGGCCGGAAAGGGTACACCAGCCGGCCCGCCCCTCCAGCCTCCCGCTTCCGTCCTGGCGTCTGGGCCACGCCCCTCGCTGTTTTGCGCAGGCGCAGCAGTGCGTATGCGGGCTCCACCCCTTACCTGCCTTCTTACAGGCTGTCTGACCTGTGGGCGTTGTCACGCTCCCCGGCGAGGATTGGGCGGCGCCCCTAGGTGGGCGGGGCCGGGAACAGAGAGGACGGCGCTTGAGTGGCTGCACCTGTAGTAAGCGCGTCTTCCCCGGACCTTCGGACCTTATAGGACAGCGCTTCCGACGTGTCCCCGCTGTAGGTGCTGCAGCATCAGTCAGACTTGGTTCCAAGTGCAGATAATTGGTTCCCGCTGACCGCATCAGAAAGTCCAAAAGTGGCTCCAAGGTGTTTCCAATCCGCCCTGAGAAGTGGGTATTAACCAACTGGCGAGTTGGCTCAGCAGGTGAAGGCGCTTGCTTCCAATCCTGATCACCTGAGTTCGATCCCCAGGGCCCACATGGTGTAAAGAGAGAACTGATCACTGCAAAATGTCCCCTGACCTCCACACGAATGCTGTGGCACTCCCGTGGCCACACAAATAAGTAAATATAATTTTTATTATTATTTTTTTTAAAGTGGGAGTTAGGGGTCCTGGAGAGATGGCTCACTGGCTGCTTTTCCAGAGGACCGGGTTCTACTCCCAGCAACCACATGGCAGCTCAGAGCTGTCTGTGACTCCAGTTCCAGAGAACCCAACACCCGTGACTCCAGTTCCAGAGAACCCAACACCCATGGCAAAACAATGCATATAAAATAAAAAATAAAATAAAAAAGTGGGAGTTAGCTTCCATTTTTCTCAAGCGCAAACTGATCAATAATGGAACCCAGTTCTACTGGACCTCAAAGTACCCTGGGTTCTTAACAGCTTCCTAGTGTTAACTCCCAGTGCTTTCCGGATTGACCCAAATCACTGTACAGGACGTGGGCAGTTCACGCTCCACCCCTCGAGGCCTAGGCTGTAGAGTGGAGATTAAGCACGCCCTTCTTCTCTTCCTCTTGTAACCCATTGGCTGTAGAAAAGCAGCTCTGGCTTAATCCAGCTGTGATGACTAAAACGAAATGCTCCTGGGTTTTAGTTTGAGACAGGGTCTCTTTTTGCTGTCCAGGCTGGCCCCGAACTCCTGGACAGCACCTGCCTCAGCCTCATGGGATCTCATGGGAGGTTTTTGTTTTGAAGATTTATTTATTGATTTTTATGTGTATGTGTATCTGCACGTGTTTATGTGCACCAAGTGATAGCAGAGGGCATTGGATCTCTTACAAGTAGACTTATGGGCAGTTGTGAGCCACCCAATGTGTGTGCTGGGAACGGAACCAGGGTCCTCTGAAAGGGCAGCAACCACACTGAGCTCTTTCTCCAGCCCCAAGCTTCGAGGTTTTGATTTAGAACTCCTCCTTCAGGTCATAAATCTCACTTTAGGAATCCCATTTTATGCTGTTGAGTGGTTTGCTTTCCACCTAAAGTTTTTTTTTTTTTTTTTTTGCTTTCTTGAGACAGGGTTTTTCTGTGTAGCCTTGGCTGCCCTGGAACTCACGTTATAGCCCAGGCTGGCCTCGAACTCAAAGATCCACCTGCCTCTGCCTCTAGAGTACTGGGATTAAAGGCGTGCACCACGACTACCAAGCAAAGTTTATTTTGTATTATTTTTATCTTAGACAGGTTCTCACTATGTAGCCTTAGCTACATAGAGATCTGCTTGCCTTTTCCTCCCAGGAGCTAGGGTTAAAGGCATGTACTGCCACACTAGCTCTTAAATATTTTTATTAGCATATATTGATTATCCACAATAATGGGTTTCGTTATATCTTCATACATATATAGAATGTATTTCTCTCTCTCTTATACACACACACACACACACAGTTACCCTTATTTAGCCATCTTCCTTTCCCATAATCCCCTTCACTATCCTTCTTTCATGTCTTTGTGTGATCATGTGATCCACTGCTTACAAAAATCTTTCTGCTTCCCCCACCAACCATCATCTGCATATAAGTCCTCAGGTGTTGACTGGCCCAATCTTTCAGAGATTTTGCGCAGATAATCTGAGCTGTCATGAGATCAAGAGTGCAACTACTATGTCATGCCCAGAATTCAGAATTCCATGCTTCTCTCCCTTCTTCCTGTAGATCTTACATTCTCTCCACCCCATCTTCTGAAATGTTCCCTGAGCCTTGGAGGGTGTAATATGGCTGTCCCACTATGGCTGGGTATTCAACGGTAATTTATTCTTGGCACTTTGACAGTTACAAGTCTGTAGTGCCCCCTGAGCACCTTTGACCAAAGCTGATCGCCGAACTATTAGGTGTAGGGGTTTGTTTTGTATGTTAAAGTTTACCAGGCCATCTGCAGTGGTTGAGTCAGGAGGACTGCAAGTCTGAGGTCAACCTGGGCTATGTAGGGAGACCTAGTTTTTAAAACAAAACATACAAAAAACTGAAACAAAGGCCAGTCATGGTAATGCTTGTAATCCCAGCACTTAGAAGGCAGAGGAAGGAAGTTCAGGATTTCAAGGCAGTTCAAGGTCAGCCTGGGCTGTGAGAACCCATCTCAAAACAAAAGATGTACCAGGTAGCAAAGACATATGCATGAGTCCATGAGGTTGCTCAGAGGCAAAACAGAGCCAAACTAAATGACTATATATAGGGATCAGTATGTAAATTTTCAGGTCTCACTCCAGCAAAAATGGAATACAAAAACTGTCTGACTTGAGTTTGATCCTAAGAACCTGCATTTAAAAAAAAAGATGGGTGCGGAGGCTTGAGAGTTGACCTGGTAGTTAAGAGCACGGCTGCTTTTTCAGAGGACCTGGGGATAAGTTTCCAGAACCCACATGGTGGCCCTCAACCATCAGTACCTCCAGTTCCAGGAAATCCAGCACCACCTTCTGGCCTTTGTGGGTACTGCATGCACATGGTGCATATACACATAAACCTTTGTGGGAGGAGCTCCCTACTGGGGCCTGGCAGCTGATCCACAAGCCACAGAACAGAATGACAGTGACCGACTGCCAGAAACTCCCTGGAGATGGAAGTGAGCAAGCTGCAGACTGTGGTTTAAGACAATTTTCCTTTCCTCAAGCTGAAGGACTGAGCTCAGGACTCTGATCAGGCTTGCGTGGGAAGTGCTTTTACACACTGAGCCAGCTATTACAATTTTTTGAGACGGCGTAGTCCTGGCTGGCCTGGAACTCCATGTGTAGACCAGTCTGCTCTCAAACTCACAGAGATCTGCCTGTTGCTGCCTCTCAAGTGCTGGGATTAAAGGCTAGACCAACATGCCAGGCTGCAATTGGATTTTAATGAGGAGAGCCGAATTTAGCATTCTTGTCTAAAAGATGAAGTACACTGGTTTGTTTTTTATATATATTTACACATATGTATCAAAGCTGGGTCTTGTTTACTAGTGTGAAATATAACTACATTATAATGGGAGCCAAGTTTAGCATATTGGTTTTGAAAGGACAGTTGTTGGGGTTTCTTGCTTTTCTTTTACATTAATAGTACTAGCTATTCTGGGCAGATGAAAATGTTCTGTGGGACTAGGGAGGTGACTCAGTGGGTAGTTATGTTTGTCACTAAGCCTGGCAATTCCTAGAACTCACACAGTTCAAGGAGAGAACGGTTCCTGCAGGCTGTCCTGTGATCACCACACACATGCACCATGGAATGTAGCCCCTCCCCCCCAGCACATACACACTCAATAAATGAGTGTAAAACAAGTTAAAAACCTTTCTGCTGTTGCTTCCTTCGTTAGGGAAGAGTTTCTGATACCATAGCATGTGTATAAATTATGTGTGTGTGTATTAGTAGGGGCTACAGGGGTGTCATAATATAAATCTAGAAAAAATGAAATAAAGTGCCATAATGATATCTAATACTTTGTGAGTTGATTTTTAAAAAATTAAAGGAGAGAGTAAGGATTTTGGAGGATCACACCAAAACCACAGCAGTGGGGGAAGGTGGGTTATTTACTGACAGAACAGTCTTGCAAGGCTTGGCTTCTAGGGGACGCCACAGGTTTACCTCAGGCTTGTTCTGGTGAGAGGTCTCAGACGTCGGAGCGGAAAGAGAGCTGAGGACAGTGTGTGCCCTTGGGCTCTCACTTCCCAGCATTAGAGAAAGAGGCTGGAGACTTCCCCAGGCAGGCTAAAGGATGGTGGTCACAATGTGGACTTTGTGATGCCCTGGGGTAACTGGGGTGGCCCCGGCAGCCCGTCTTTCCTTTTGCAGAGAGCACTTATGCTCTCTCTGTCTGTTCTAGCTTCTTCTAGGCCCAGTCAGAACTCTCCCTGGGGGTGAGAAAATGGACAAGGGGAAAATTGAAGCTGGAAGGAAGGCCGGGGAACTGTGGAGACCAGCATGAAGGGATGCTAGTGCTGTCCATGGCCTCAGCCCCATGTCCTTTCAGGTAGAGAAGCCAGTCTGCTGCCTGCCACATGAGCCATTGTCTGGGCCAGACATGGAGAACTGCTGGGTCTTTTGGGGGCTTGTCTTGTGGCTGATGGCTCCCTACCTGGGTTGGACACATGAGTCAGCACCCCAGCAGGAATGGACATACATGGTACCACAGCACTCTAACTGGCTGGGCTTCAAATTTGGGGAGCATGGCTGCCCTTCACGGACCCCCAACTGCTCCACCTGCCACTGCACAGCTGGAGGATGGAACTGGTTCGAAGCGTGTTATGAGAAGAGCATGGGGTACTTGAGGAGGACAAAAGCGCTCTGGTGGCTGGTCAGTGGTCAGCTGGGCCCTGAGCCCTTCGCTTTCCCCCGGGGCCCAGTTCCTCCCCCATCCTCTGGCCCAAACCTCTTCTCCTGGCTGCTGTGTGCATCTCCCCTCTTCAATCCTGGACCCCCAGAACTGAGGGCTGGTGCCAGAACCCCAACTTCTCTTTCTGCCGTCACCAGGGCATGAGCTCAGTAAGCGAGCTTGGAAAAGTGTGGAAGAAGCTACTAGAAGTGATTTCCAGGCCCCTCCTGTACCACTTTGATGTCCCCTGTGTGCCCTGCGTCATGCTGCGGAACTCTGGCCTCAGCAATACCAAGCAATTGTACGTGGCTTTCGGGTAGGCACTAAGAAGGTGGTAGGGCCCGGGTCAGGCTTGCCCCAGGTTCTGTTAGTCTCTGCCATTGTTCCCAGGATGAGTCAGGACACCATCCACAGGGCTGAGGCAGATATGAGGAGCCAAACCACAGGACCCTTCATCTGTCCCAGGAATGCCAGTCACCAGGGCTCCTGGAGGCAGCCGTGGTTCCTGGAGCTTGCTGATCTGGTGCCCCGAATGACAAGGTAATGGAGATGTGCAAGACCTTCTCAATGTGGAGGTACAGGGAGTTCTCCCTGAGAAGATGGGGGGAATGCTGGGGGGTCTCTGCTGCCTTGCTGGGGATTGCATCTGAGGGATTTTCTTAGGTCTCTGGAGCTTTCTAGAATTTCACCATCTCCAATTCTTTCTCAACTGTAGATTTTGGAAGACAGTCTGATTTCCCTAAGGCACGAGATAGTTAAGATGCGGTAAGGAGGATGTGGCTCTGATGTGCTGTGGGAGGGACTCAGGCTTGCCCAGGGACAACCTAACATGGGCAACTAGCTGGACAACTGCCAATACTGGAACTCACGGTCAGGTCTGCACGGGCAGCAGAAACCTGGTATCTTCAGCATGGAGGCCGAAGTTCTGTGTATACACTCACTCCAGCCTGCCTTCCTGTCTCCTCTTCTGCACTTTAACTTCTTAAAAAGTTATTTTATGTGTAAGAGTATGCTGACTGCATGTGTGTATGCACACCATGTTCATGCCTGGTGCCCTCAGAGGTCAGAAGAAGGAGGTGGATTCCTTGGAAATGGAGTTATGGATGGCTCTGAGTCACCGTGTGGGTGCTGAGAAACAAACAGGTCCTCTGCAAGGGCAACAAACGTCCTTAACCACTGAGCTACTTCTCCAGTCCATGCGCAGTTTCCCAGAACTGTAGCTGCCCTCTGCCTTTTCACAGCCCTTCCCTTCCCTGTCTGGAATCCCCTTCCCATGCAGATCAGGGACCAGCTAGTTGATGCTTTCTGAGGCCCAGGGTAAGTCTGGGAGAGTGTTTATCACGCTGTGTTCAGTCTGTCTTCCCTAGAGAGGGGAAGCGCTGTTCTCTCCAGGCTCCAGAAACAGCCTGTCACTAGATGAAAGGGAACCAGGGCTAAAGGACAGGATGCAGCCTGCTGACATGCACGGCCCTCTCATATGCCAGGCCACGCTCTCTGGATTTGGATCAGAACAGCAAAGCAGTCCTATTTCGATAACCAGACCAAAGGCCCCCTGACGGACCTGTCTGCATGGACTAGAGAAGCAGAAACGGAAGTTGCTTGTCAGCTAAGATGGACAGACAAAGCTACCATTCACAAGTGACAACTGCTGAGGCATGAATGCTGGAGAGTTTTAGGACACAACAGCCACATAACTGTGAAGACATTCATAGGTGAAGATCTAAAGAAAATGGTATGAGATCAGTCTGGTACTGAATAAAATCTTGGTCTGGCTCTCTTCTCTGTAAGCACAGTATCTGGAGAGGAAAGGCCAGGTCATAGAGGCAATGCCTGTCTGTCTGCCATCACCTGTCTGTCTATCTATCTATCTATCTATCTATCTATCTATCTATCTATCTATCTATCTATCTATCTATCTATCTATCCATCTATCCATCTATCCATCTATCCATCTATCCATCTATCTATCTATCCATCTATCCATCTATCCATCTATCTTTCACCATGTATAGCCCTGGCTATCCTGGAACTTGCTCTGTAGACCAGGCTGGCCTCTAACTCAGAGATCTGTCTGTTCTTGGGCAGAATTTTACAATGTAGCCCAGGCTGACCTTGAACTCATGATGTTCTGGTCTCAGCCTCCTGAGAACTGGCATTACAGGTGTGCACTGCCTCGCTCAGTGTTGTGTAGCATTTTCCTATAAGACAAAAACCTTCCATTTTGGAGGAAAGCACCTTAAGACACAGGAGCTCCTCTAAGGGGAGGCGAAAATTCCATCCTACAGGAAGCTCCCCAAGTAAACAAGTCAAAAGCTTCCGAAAGTCCCAGAAACGGAGCAGATTCACTAGACCCTTCACTCTCTAAGTATGTATCAGTGAGAGTCACTCCCAGACAAACCCAGCTGTCTGGAATGAGGCAGAGATCAATGGCACTGCTTGGAAGACTCTCCAACCTGTGGAGCTGCCTGCAATTATGCAGTGAGTGACAAGTGTCCAGCATTTGTGAGTGTCACCCATGGGGTGGGCTTTCGGTGATGCCGCTGTCTTTGGGTCATTTCTACTCCTGTAACTAGCCCTTGCCCATATTCCCACAAGTAACCCCAATAAAATGCATTGGTTCACCGTATTTCCTGAGTAGCACGATCAAACTCAAGTTAGTGTCATTGTTTTCAGAGGGGACTCTTCAGTACCAGGAACTAGAAAAGTATGCACATACTAAAAGGTGAAACTGGGATACAACACATACAAAAATGTGTGTGTGTATATGTGTGTGTGGACAGGCACCATATATGAAGGACTTAACTGTCAAAAACAGAAAGTGTGAGAGCACTGCCCAGCACGCTCAGCTCACGTGCACTACACACTCAGCTCACATGCACAGCACACTCAGCTCACGTGCACAGCACGCTCAGCTCACGTGCACTGCACGCTCAGCTCACGTGCACTGCACGCTCAGCTCATGTGCATGCTCAGCTCACTGCACTGCACTGCACACTCAGCTCAAGCACAGAGCACGGAGAACAAGAAAACTGCCTTGAGGGCCGGTGACGTGGCTTGCTGGGAGAACACACACCACCCAGTAACCTCACGTGTTGTGTTCTATCCCCAACGCTCAGAGAAAAGAGGAGGGGGCACTGCTCCTCTCAGGCTTTGAGGGAGTCACCAACAATGGTGTTGGGCCTGTGCGTTCTAGTCCATATGCCCCCGGCCCTTTCTGTAAGGGACAGGTTTGGCCAGGCTATGCTGACTGGCCTGACACATGGTTGGATGTCATCACTTCCAGCTGATGTGCCCAGGGAGGGGCACGTGAGGGTGTTCAGGCAGACAATGGTGTGTGATGGGGCGCAAAGCCACATGGACTTCTGGAATCACGACTGTGACTTTAGCCAAAGTCAAAGAGCTTGATTTAGGTAAAGAAACTTGGTGGCTGCTTGCTGTCTGGGTCAGAGCTCGAGGCCTGCTGTAATCCAGCCTCCAGCCTTGGTCCCACCCTCTGCCACAGACAGACCAGTTCCCCGCGAGACTGTCCAGCAGGATTCTCAACTCACTCCTCCATGCCTCAAGGGTCCGTGCGTGACTCCCTTGCTCCCTTGGAACCTCTACAGTACTTCTGTTCATACTCAGAGCTGCCTCTAAATTGCTAATGTATTACTTGGTCCTTTTTCTGTTTACATGTATGTGCATATGTGTGGGCATGGATGTGCTGTCATGCATGTGTGGAGGTCAGAGGGCAACTTATCCCCCATCCCGTGGGACGGGGCACAGAACTCAGGCTGTCAGGCTTGCCAAGCACCTCACCAGACTTGTTACACGGTTCTTCACTTCACACTTCAGGCTGGACCGGATTTTCTCACGTGACCTTCCCGTTAGACAGCATGCCATGCATGTGGTACGTTCATGCTGCCATACGGGAATCAGTGAATCTTCCCAATCCCCTCGATGTCCTCCTGCGGCCCATCTACGGAAGTGGAGACAGCAGCCGAGGGCTAATACAAAGACCTGGGGTTTATTGTAAAGGGGAAGGTGGGGGACGGTGAAGCCAAGAAGGCAGCGGACACTCCCTGCACTGGATGCTCCTGCCCAAGACAGAGTACCAGATGCCGCTGGGGCCAGCCAGGCCTTCAGGCTCAGTGTGGACTGTGGTTGCTTCAACAGGCGGAAAGACAACGATGCCCCGCAGGCAGGACAAGGCACTTCCTGGGTAACAGGAGGTCAGCAAGCAAATGCGATTTGCCTCATTCCCATGTGAGCTGCGACCCTCTGCGGCCTGGAGGGTCCCCATTTATTTCCTAGGACTGTGAGCTGACCTGGTCCTCCTAGTCGGGTAACAGAGCTAATCTTGCCTTTGGCAAACTTGCAGCGTTGGGGGAGCGGTGACCCCCTCTGTAGTCATCCGATGTGCGCCACCTGGCTGGCTGTGTTCTGCTCAGGCTACGGCTGCTACCTGGGGGTCGTGTGAGCAGTGTCCAGACTGGGATGTAGCAGGGCTGGCCCCGGGGATGTCAGACTCTGACTCAGGGACTCATCCAGCTTTCGGGTCTCGGCCTCCAGAACAGTGGCCTCGGGGGCCTGGGCCACCGTGAGGAGGGAGTGGGAGAGGCTATGCCGCAGGCCCGCCAGCTCCCGGCTGGTCTGTGCCGACTGTGCGATGTAGTCCTCTCTCTGCTTCCGCTCCAGTGCCAGCTGGGCCCGCAGCAGGGCTACCTGGAGGACAGGAAAACCAAGGAGGACGGCAGTTGGAGGCTCGGAAGCTGATCTGGGTTCTCGTGGCTTGTGTTCCACACTGGAATCAACTGCTACAAATACGAATCTCAGAATCAGGCTCTAGGGTTGGGAGAGGGGCTGTGGACTCCAAATCCAGCGATTCTCAAAGCTGGCTCCACAGTTAGGATGGTTGGCCTAACTGTCAACACAATCCAGCACCTGAGAAGACTCTTGGGGGGGACTATGTACACCAGGTTGGCCTGCGGGCATGTCTGTGAGGGACTGCCTTGTCTACATAAACAATGTGGGAAGACCCAGCTCATGTCGATGGTACCGTTCCTTGGCTTGGGTCCTGGGTGGAGTGAGCTAAGCAGGCATGCGTTCACTCTCAGCTGCGGACTGTGACGTGACTAGCTGCTTTAAGTTCCGGCAGCCTTGACTTCCCTGCTCTGACAGACTGTTTGTTACCTGGAATGGTGAGCTACAGTAACCCCTTTTCCTGTACACTGCCCTTCTCGAGTATTTTATCAATGAGACTAGGACAGCAGGTGACTCACGGGAGCTAGGAGCATCAATAAACTTCATTTTTTAATTTTTAAAAGTTACTTAAAAATGGGTATGACTGTTTGGCCTGTATGTATGTGTGTGTGCACCATGTGTGTCTGGTGCCTACAGAGGTATGACTGTTTGGCCTGTATGTGTGTGTGTGCACCATGTGTGTCTGGTGCCTACAGAGGTATGACTGTTTGGCCTGTATGCATGTGTGTACACCATGTGTGTCTGGTGCCCACAGAGGTATGACTGTTTGGCCTGTATGTATGTGTGTGCACTATGTGTGTCTGGTGCCCACAGAGGTCAGAAAAGGGCGTCAGATCCCCTGAAACTGGAGTTGTAGATGGTTGTGAGCCACCATGTCGGTGCTGGGACCCGAACCTGGGTCCTCGGCAGGAACACAAGCGCTCTTAGCGGCTGAGCATCTCTCTAGCCCCTCATTAACTTACTGCAGGAAAGTTTACATTTGATCAAATGCCCAGTTTTAATTTTGATAATGGATATGCCTAGGCATAACCATAATCCAGTCAAGACATAGAACATTTTGATCAGGTAAACGTCCCATCAGACCTTTCGGCAGGAAGCATTCCAACTTAACTGGAATGGTGCGAGGCCCAGGGGTCAGTGGTTTTTCAGATCTCCTCCCCGGGTCGTTCTAAGGTGCAGCCAAGGCTGGGAATCACCAACCAAACTTCCCATTCCTCAGATGGGCAGAGAAGATGAAGTGCCCGGAGTCTCAGGACTGTTCAGGACTAGGGTGAGAAGAGGCCTTGAGGGCAGCACTAAGGGGCACCCCAGGAAAGAGCAGGTCCCAAGGCCTCTCCTGCCTCAGACTGAGTCAGGGGGCTTCGTAGAACTTTCACAGACCACAGAGCACAGCCCGGTCCAGCTGGAGTCAGCCTGCTGACAGTACCTACTGATTCTGAGAGGCTCAGAAATCAAATCTGTACTTTTCAGTCCTCTCAGGTGGGGTGGGGGTGGGGGGAGGAGGAGAAAGAGAGGAGTGGGGGGTCTTTAGGTGAGACTCGGGGCAGGAGGCATCCGAGTAGTTTCCTGAGTGTGGTGCTGGCCTGGCATGTCTGAGTCCCTCTGCCTAGTGCTGTCCACAGTCCTGCCTGCCTCCAGCCGAGGGCCAGGCCAGTCACTGCTTCTTGCCTTTTCTGCCCTAGACCGCTCTGCGTCTCCGCCCCCTTTCTAAGTGTGGATCTGGAGGTTGGCCTGGACTTGGTACCACACTGCAGGTGGAGTTGGGACTGGAGCACCACGTGTCTCCTATGGAGATCAAAGTTCTCTGAGTGCCAAAGCTACTTCCCCTCTCCTGCTGGAAGTGCACAGACACTAAAGCTTGTTGCCTGAGTACAGGGAGGGAAAGGAGGGATGGGAAATGGATCCTTCCAGAACGTACCTCTCTCTGAAGCTCAAGCACATGCATGCTATCCGAGGAGCCTTTCTGACCTCCTCTCCCATCCTAAGGAGAACAAACATGGCCCTGTTAGAATGGGCCGTCCTGCTCTGGAGCTTCCACAGCAGCCTACCTCTGCCTCTGCCCCAAGGCCAGCGAGGCTGCAGGGGGCCATCTGTGGGGCAGGCAGCGCTGAACTCCTCGTCCCACATCTTAAGGGCCAGGAGCACTTGAACTCAAACTGAAGCGCGATGGGGCTTGGCTCGAGGCCAAGAGGCCCACGGCAGCACCATGGGCAGCACCTTCTATGAGGAACTTTATTTAACATTAGGGTTCTCCATGGATCTGTTTTGTGGGAGTCCTGGGCTAAAGGGGAAGAAAGGTAAGTGTTTGCCCTTGGGAAACGTTCAGGGAAGTGGGGTGAAGCTGGAGATGTTCAGGACCGGAAGCAGTTCCTCCAACCATGGGACAGGCATAACTAACCTGAGGTGGTGATGGTTTCGAAGGGCAAACCCCTTCCCTGAGAACAGGACTCTGTGCCAGGACAATCAGAACTCTAACTTTGTAAACTCAGAACTAAGGGGCTCTTAAATGCAAAGCTGTGGTCAAACTTCTGGGCGTGTCAAGAGCTGGTAAGCATGATCGAGCCCCTGGACGCCAGGGACTCTGGGTGAGCCAGGGGACCCGAGGCACTGGTCTGGGAGTGAGTGGATCGGAACCCTATCCCTGACTGCACTTACCCGCTGATGTCGGACCTGCTCCTAAGGCAAGGACAGACCAAGGGTGGAATCAAGCCAGGAGAGGCTCTCCAGAGAAATGGAGCGGCTGTCTCTACATCTAAGAGTGGCCTGGGATATGTACTACAGGGGGCTGGGTTTCCACAGAGGCAGAAGAAAGGCAGGTGAGAGAAACAGGTAAACCTGCTGTACGGGGGACGAAGCCATGGCTTCTCTCGTCTCCAGAGACCCTGCTCGGGATGCGCGCATGGAATCCCTCTTCAGCCTCCTCCGTTCCCGCTCCACCTGCCAATATGCAAGTGAGAAACCACGTGTTGATCTGGAGCCAGCAGCACATGTGCAGGGGTGAGTGTGGAGAGCTAGAAGCCCTGGGAAGTCAGACTCCTGGGCTGGGGAGGGCATGTGGTCGGGTACAAAGAAGAGCTCCTGGTACAGAGGAGGCAGGCCAACTCTCAGCCGTGGGAGCAGAGGCTAGCTCTGTGGGCTGTTGTGAGCTATTCCCGCCCCGTCACAACGACTCTGCTCCCTAGCATGACGAGCAGGCACCACAGACCATGCATGGCTACCGATTTACTAAAACTGTTTCAGAAACAGGCACAGGAAGCCCTGGGCCCCGAGGGGAAGCACACGTTCCTGACCTGCTCTAAGGCAGTCCGCAGCTGCGCGTTGTGGTGCTGCAGCTTGCTGCGGTCAAATTCCAGCTGCGCCACAGCTTCCTGCAGACGTTCAAGCCTTTGTGTCCACTGCTCCTTCTCCTCCACCCCAGGACTAGGCTCAGCCACAGCTACCTGCAGGGGAGACCCGTGATGCTCATCTGGGCAGCCCAACAGACAGGGAGGAGAACTGGAGGGCAAAGGGACCAATCTGTCAGTTTGGGTTCAGAGACCCATTCCCAAAGGAGGGGAACAGTGTCGACAAGGCCCCACCTAGGCCCCGGCCAGCTCACCTCTCCAGGCTGCCTGTCTTGTCCAGCTTTGGGCCCTTGGTCTGCTCTGCTGGCTGAGTGTGGGTCATGTGACTGCTGCTCCTCCAGAGCCTGTCTGCTGAGCACCAACTCCTCCTGGGGTACAGAGCGAGGGACAAAAATCACACTACGTTAAGCTCATGTCCAAAGTTGTCCCATCCTCCACCCTCTTCATAAACAAACCGTGTTCAAGAAGGGAGATGGATCTGGGAGTGTGTGTGAATATGTGTGTGGTGTTGGTTGCTGTGGGATGTTCTGTATGTCCTGTGGGAGCCCTTCTTGGGTTCTTTGTGGCGTTACCCAGCAGGTCCGCATAGAGGATGATTAGGACCATGGGCCTGAGTGCAGGTGTCTGAGATGGTCTGCACTTGGCTGTGCTGGG